CGTAATGGGCTTAGCCTAAGCCCGGCAAATCAATCAAATAATATATATTTTCAGACATTCCGCTTTATTTCGGCGGCCAATCGGCCAAACGTGCGTATACGTAATCTAGGCGAAATAAAATAAAATAAGGAGATTATCTGACCCAGTCCAGCATTGTCTGGCGAATTGTTTGGCGAGGGCAAACAGAGTAGCGTTTTATTTAAAAGTTTCCGACACAAGACAAGAAGACTGGGCACATTGCGTAAACAATATTCATTGTCAGGGTCAAGCGTTTATAATATGGGTGATGGGTGATATTCAAATGGCTTGCGGAACTTTGCAAGTAAATATATCTGGCTCATATATAAATACAACTTAGCTGGCCACTGGTGTCCCTAAGCCAGATTGAAGTTATTTAAACTTGCGAACGGCCGCAAACTCAAATAATTTGCCCAAATTACTTTTTCTTTTCGGTGTTCAGCCGAGTGACCTTGCTTTTGACACGTTTTGGTCAAGCACCTTTCGAAGGGTGCGGTTCTAGGTGCTGGATCCTTTGTCTTAGCCGTGTTGTCGTTGCCGCATTAATGACCAGGCCGACAGGACCCGTTTCCCCGGAATCCTGGCCAAGAAATCCTGGCGCTCTTGGTCATTTTCCTCGCCCGCTGACAATTGTTTCGTGAGCCTTTTATTGTTATGGCATTCTATTTGTTGTCGTTTGCTTTTTGCAACAAATTCAGCCAACGTGCTTTGAATTACAATTACATGCCATCACTTTTTTCTGTATTTTTTTGCCTACAAAATGTCCTTTGTTCCTTGCAGTTATTTTCCATTTTTTTTAAACAAATTGTTTTGTTGTGTGTGTATGTGTGTGTGTCTGCATACTTTAACGCCGCTTGTTATCAACTTTTAATGGCATTTTTCTCTCGGCCATCAACTTTCTGTGTCTGCGGTGGCAATTCATTTGTTTTGCGGCCGAAATTGAAATGATGATTGTTATGGACATTAATCATTAAAATCTGATTACGAAATGCAGGGCACAGGAAAAGTTTTCTTCGCAAAAATGCGACTAGACATCGTTTTTTGCGAATTGGATTTATTTTAGGATTGTTCAAAACGTGCTGGATTTTATTCTGCGCGGCTATATGTTCAGTTTACTTTAAGATCTAAATACATGTAAAAAATAAATACAATTTTTTTTGTGTAATTATTTCTTATTATTTAATAATGGACATTATTTTTATGAGGTTTATAATGCTTTTAAAATTTTTTATATTACAAATATTTTTCTTTTACTTAATAATGTGAAATAATACCCTAACAAATGGAAAATGAATTTTAAGGAGACTAAAATGCCTATAAAAAATAGTTTCTTAAACAGTCCATAAAAGCATAAAAATAATTTTTTTTAAGTCACAGCAGTGTAATAATTTCTTTAGCAATATCCAATCGATTACCTTAAATTTATTTCCCAAAATGGCGCCCACCTTCGTAATAACTTTGACCAACAACTTGAGTGGCCCAAACTTAATTGAATTAAAAATTTCCTCCAAAGTTGACTTTGTGCGATGGCAAAAGTTGAAAAAAAAAATGATGTAAACTTTTGGCAGGGCAAAAATAGATCCTGATCAATCGGTTGGCAATTAGCGTTGCTGAACTTTAAGCTTCAGACGTAATTAGCGTGAACTAATTTCTTGCATTACACTTTTAGCTTCGTGTCTGGAATTTCGCTGCTGGGAACCTCGACGGAGATCTATGTGTATGGAACACAATACGCCTTCATCCTGGTGACTCTGGCCATCTCGGGAGCGATTTCGTGGTACATCTTCCTGCCCGTCTTCTGCAACCTCCAGCTGACATCCACCTATGAGGTAAGCAGAACGTTGTCCAATTCTAGAGAGAGGAGAATGTATGTGTTTACCTATTGGTCTACTGCATGTTACGCATTAATTCTATGTTTTTGAGTGTACGATTTTGGATTCTTTTGATATTCGATGGCATGTTAATGTGTAAGTAAAGCTAAAGGTAAAATCAAAGACAAGACAACGAGCAGGGAGTACATGTACCATTGGGAAAAAAAAGTGCAGTCAGCTGTAAGAATTCTTTCAATGCCAGTTTATTTGCATGCCAGACATACATAGATTTTGGCACACAATGCTCTGCTCGAACAATACAATACCAATTGTACCAGTTGGCATACGGATAGTCGTAGTTTATAAGTGGCTGCCTGGCCACATGTCGTATGAGTAATAGTCGATTATGTATGCGTCGCGTTGCCCCACACACACACACACTCGTATTCAGGGGGTGTATGTGTGGGCCATCCTTTTTGTGTGTTAACCAAAGCCCAAAAAAAACAAACCATTGGAAAAAAATATTTGCAGTACTTCGAGTTGCGCTTTAACAAATCGGTTCGTCTGCTGGGCTCTGCCTTCTTCACGGGCGCAAATGTAAGTATAATCTGGTATTTAGTGAAAAGAAAACATTCCATTCCATTCAAGACCTGAAGGAATATTCATAAACCAATTTAAATGTCTACTAACGCGTTTTTCCTTAGCTTATCTGGCTGCCTATTGTCATCTATGTCCCAGCCTTGGCCTTTAATCAAGGTAAGAAACCCGCTACTCATTGAAGTTTTAGGATAAAGATTTTTAAAAGATTTTTTATTAAATAAATTCAAAATTGTAAAATCATTTAAAGCTTTAATAAACCACTTTATTGTCAAGAACCTTCACATATGCAAATTATATACTCAATTTTTTGTAAATTTATCACATATTGAAGTACATATAAATAAGTCAAATTATATACTCCTCTAAAATTTTTGTAAACTTTCATTTCACATATTCGAAGTACATTTTGTAAGATGCATAAGCAGTTTTCTATTTAAAGTAGTATACTCCCCTGTCAACAACATTATTTTACCATTTATTTTAAATTGTAATAACTTTTATATTTTTAAGATTTATAATATTTTCATTTTTTTGTAGTCATGGTTTCACTTTATTCACTTTGCAGTTACTGGCATTAACATTCATATCATCACGCCAATTGTTGGCCTCGTCTGCATATTCTACACAACTGCCGGTGGGCTAAAGGCCGTTGTCTGGACAGATGTGATCCAAACCATCGTAATGATAGGAGCGGTCATCTTTGTGATCATTAAGGGCACCTTCGATGTGGGCGGACTGGGGGTGGTAGTTCAGAGGAATTTCCACGGCGAACGAATCGAATGGCCTGAGTGGGTGAAAATTATTAGAAGGCCTTAATTCCTGTCTGCTCATCATAAATATGAATGAATATTTCCTAAACAGACTTACTTTCGATCCCAAAGTTCGCATGTCCATGCTGGCTTTAATGGTGGGCAGTGTTGGCCAATATACCTTTTTGTTTGGCTGCGATCAGAGGACAACCCAGCGATACATGAGCCTTCCCGGTGTAAAACAAATGGCCCAAACATCCTTTCCTTTTCATCGCCGGATTAACTCTGTTGTATTCCCTATGCTTGTACAACGGACTCCTATTGTACGCAACTTACTACGACTGCGATCCATTGACCACAAAGGTGGGGCAATATTATCCGATTTATGATATGTTGTGTAATTGAGAAATGAATTACAGTTGGCAGCGGCCAAGGATCAGTTGGTTCCCCTGCTCGTAGTGCAATCCATGAGCTCTTTTCCCGGTCTCTCCGGATTGTTTATAGCCGGAGTGTTTAGTGCTGCCCTAAGTTCCCTATCCACGGGCATGAATTCCCTCTCCGCTGTTCTCCTGGAGGATTACATAAAGCCCTTGGTGAAGAAGCCCCTTACGGAACACCAGACCGCAGTCACCTTGAGAGTTTGTACGGTGATCACTGGCGTCCTGGGTGTGGCTCTGGTCTTCGTGGTAGAAAGGATGGGCTCCCATGTAATGGAGCTTCTCATTACAATTGGCTCAGTCGTAGAGGGTCCGCTCTTTGGCCTCTTTTGCATGGGTCTGTTTTGCCCAAGCATCAATTCAAAAGTTAGTTATAAAAACAACTTTTGAATATCTATTTTAAATTATAAATTCGTTCAAGAGTGCCATTACCGGATCCCTTGTTTCGTTCTCATTCAATGCCTGGCTTAGTTTTTCTGGGAAATCCCATTCCGTACCAAAGCCAGTCAGCATAGAGGGCTGTGACTATGAGTTCGACCGTTCCCTGATGACCCCCGCAAATGCCACCCTTCTTAATGCAGAACTTCCGTAAGTTTAATGGAATCTCCCCAACCACCGAGCCGTTCTCATCATCTGAGCCTAATCCTACAGGTCCCTCAGTTTCGCCGAGCAGATCCACTACATATCCTTCATGTTCTACACAATTATGGGGTGCACAGTGGGTGTGATTGCAGGACATCTGGCTGGCTTTGTATTTGGCCGAAATAAAGCTGGTGATGTAGCAGATGAGTTGCTCTCGCCCTGTATACGAAAATTCCAGAAACCCAAATACTCCAGCGTCAACCTGAAAGAGAAATCATAAACGACGAGAAACCATAAAAAAATGTTTACTGACCTTTTAATATCTTATCAAATTATTTCCCTACTACCAGCTTTTACATATCAGAACAGCCTAAGTCTAAGTTTATTTCACATTTACCTTAGCCTTAACTTTTTCGTCTTTTGTGTACTTAATCACACTGACTTTTCAAGCGAATAATATTATAATATTTAACATTACTAACATTCATATGCAGTAAAATAATTACTTTAAATAACTAACAAGTTTTTCATATTATTGATGTGGGTTCTTGACAATTAAAACACGCATTTAAGCCTGAGTAGGAACTGTTAATTTCTTTACTAACGTTTTTTTTAAAGTAACTTTAATTTATAAAGTTCTCTTTGTAAAAATATGAAGCTTCAGAATTACCTTGTGTACTCTTCCAGTAACTGGAATAAATATCCATGTTATCACGCCAATCGTGTGCCTGGTCTGCATATTCTACACAACTGCCGGTGGCTTAAAGGCGGTTGTTTGGACAGATGTGATCCAAACCGTCATAATGATAGGAGCGGTTATCTTTGTTATCATCAAGGGCACCCTCGACGTGGGCGGAGTGGGCGTGGTTATTCAGAGGAATTTCGACAGCGGACGAATCGAATGGCCTGAGTGGGTGACAACTATTGCAAAGTACTAGCCTTAATTTATGAAAGTATTTTGAAAACAGATTCACATTCGATCCCAAAGTTCGCATGTCCATGTTTGCCTTGATGGTGGGCTATGTTGGCCACAATACCTACCAATTCGGCTGCAATCAAATGATGACCCAGCGGTATATGTCCCTTCCTGGTGTAAAACAGATGGCACACACATCCTTCCTTTTCATCGCAGGATTAACTCTTTTGTTTGCACTTTGTTTGTACAATGGCCTTCTGCTCTTCGCAACTTACTACGACTGCGATCCATTGACCACAAAGGTGCGGGAATATTATCCATGTTATGATACGTTTATAATTCAGAAATCAATTCCAGTTGGCGGTGGCCAAGGATCAACTGGTTCCCCTGCTGGTAGTGCAATCCATGAGCGCCTTTCCCGGAATTCCCGGACTTTTTGTGGCCGGAGTGTTTAGTGCCGCCCTTAGTTCCCTCTCCACGGGTATGAATTCCCTCTCCGCTGTTTTTCTGGAGGACTACATAAAGCCCTTGGTGAAGAAGCCCCTTACGGAACACCAGACGGCTGTCACCATGCGAGTCTGTGTACAGTGATCATTGGAGTCGTCAGTGTGGCCCTGGTTTTCGTGGTCGAGCGGATGAGCTCTCACGTTTTGCAGCTGGGCATTACCATTGGATCAGTGGTTCAGGGCCCGCTTCTTGGTCTCTTTACGATGGGTCTGCTGTGCCCAAGTATTAACTCCAAAGTTAGTGTTCCTTAAGAAAAACAACTTTCGAAAACCCGATCTTTATCTTTAGTAATTGGGCGGCCAAACATATTATATTTAGGGTGGCATTTTCGAAAGTTTTTTTGAAAAATCATTGGGAAGAACGTTTAAAGAAATTATTATTTCGTTTAAGAGCGCAATTACGGGATCCCTTGTTGCCTTCTTCTTTATGGGCTGGCTTAGTATTTCGGCCCAAATCGCCATAAACTCCGGGGAAATTTATTCCCCCGAAAAGCCAGTCAGCATCGAAGGCTGTGATTATGAGTTCGACCGCTCCCTGGTGACCCCTGCCAATGCCACCCTTCTTAATGCAGAACCTCCGTAAGTTTCCTGGAATCTCCCCAACTATCCGTGCCCTTCTCATCATCTGAGCCTAATCCTACAGGTCCCTCAGTTTCGCCGAGCAGCTTTACCACATATCCTTCTTGTTCTACACGGTCATGGGGGGAACAGTGGGTGTGATTGTAGGACATCTGGCCGGCTTTGTATTTGGCCGAAATAAAGCCGGAGACATTGAAGACGAGTTGCTCTCGCCCTGCATACGAAGATTCCAGAAGACCAAATACTCCAGCGTTAACCTGAATGAGAGCTCTGCTAGGAGTTCCGATGAGAAATCTTAAAAAAATAGTACAATTTTAATTGTGTTTCCCTTATTGCACTTATTTGCATTTTTTCCATTTTAAGTGTACCTACTAGTTCTTTCAAAAGCTGCCTGTTACTAACATTTTTTAAGCAAGTTTTTTTGCTTTTGTGTACTTAAAAATAAAATTTTTTTGATTTATATTTTCTTATTTATTAAAAATCTAATTTTTCTCTTAAAACAAAATCACAATAGAAAAATCCATTTTAAGTGTACGTACTAGTTCTTTCAAAAGCTGCCTGTTACTAACATTTTTTAAGCAAGTTTTTTTGTTTTTGTGTACTTAAAAATAAAATTTTTTTGATTTATATTTTCTTATTTATTAAAAATCTAATTTTTCTCTTACATCAATCTACTATTTTAGATATACATTTTAAGTATTTATATAGTAATCATATTTTAATATCATTTTTCACGGGTTCTTGACAATTCATACATGTATTCATTCTTAATTTTTGACATTTATTAATTTAAATTTTTGATTGACAAAAACAGAAGCAGAGAAGTAATCAAAATTTGTAAGTAATCAAGAGCGATACTTTTTAGAGTGAACTTTGGAGCTACTTTTCTGCATCTTTAAGGATTATTTTCCTAACTTTTAAAGGCCCTTTCAACAACGAGCGCCACGTGTTGACTTTTGTGCACTTTTCCAGTTACTGGAATAAATATCCATGTCATCACGCCAATCGTGTGCCTCGTCTGCATATTCTACACAACTGCCGGTGGGCTGAAGGCCGTTGTCTGGACAGATGTGATCCAAACGGTTATTATGGTGGGGGCGATTTTCTTCGTCATCATCAAGGGCACCATGGATTTGGGCGGACTGGGCGTGGTTATTCAGCGGAATTTCGACAGCGGACGACTGGAGTGGCCTGAGTGGGTGAAAAAAAAGCGTACCACACATGGCTGGGAAGTAATCCTGCCAGGATGTGGGGTACATGGGCTCTCCTGTTCACAATTCATAATCTTAAACATTTTCGCAACAGATGGACCCTTGATCCCAAGGTGCGAATGTCCATGTTCGCAATGATGGTGGGCAACTTGGCCCACAACTCGTACAATTTGGGCTGCAATCAGATTATCACCCAGCGTTACCTATCTCTACCCGGAATCAAGGAGATGGCGCAGTGCTCGTTCCTCTTCATTTTCGGATTGGTTGCTCTGATGGCCATCTGTCTCTACAATGGACTTTTGCTATCGGCAACTTACTACGACTGTGATCCTTTGACCACAAAGGTGGGCGAGAATTTACTTGTTTATTTTACTAATTAAGAATGTAAGCATTCACGAATATATTTTTAAAATATCCTTTATAGGGTTTCAATTAATAATTAAATTGTCATTTAATTTGTTTATTTATTTATTTATAGCTAAAAGTGTTAGAAAAAACTTTATAGAGTTTTAGTTTAACATTTTATTTTCAATTATCATCCATTTTTTATTTCAAAAGAACTTGTATTTTTGTTTATCATTATTAATTAATTGTTTCTAAAAAGTACCTGTTATAGGTTTGCATCCTATCTATAAATTCTTTTAAAATCGGTACTAACTTTTAAACTATTTTCAGTTGGCAGTGGCCAAGGATCAGTTGGTTCCCCTTTTGGTAGTGCAATCCATGAGCTCATTTCCCGGAGTTCCTGGCATGTTTGTGGCCGGAGTGTTTAGTGCCGCCCTGAGTTCGCTGTCTACGGGCATGAATTCCCTGGCCGCTGTTTTCCTGGAGGACTACATTAGACCCTTGATGAGGAAACCGCTTACGGAACACCAGACAGCAGTCACCATGCGTGTTTGTACGGTGCTCATTGGAGTCGTTAGTGTGGCTTTGGTCTTTGTGGTCGAACAAATGGGCTCCCATGTGATGCAACTTTCCATGACCGTGGGATCAGTGGTCCAGGGTCCGCTTTTGGGTCTTTTCGTTATGGGCCTGCTGTGCCCAAGCATCAACTCAAAAGTAGGTGTTTTTTATCCCTAAAAATACATTTCTTGTATTATTGTATTATTTCCTTCAAGAGCGCGATAGTGGGATCTCTGGCCTCATTCTTCTTTATGGGCTGGTTGTGCTTATCGGCCCAATTGGCCATTAACTCCGGGGAAATGCAGTTTGAGAGCAAACCAGTTAGCGTAGAAGGCTGTGATTACGAATTCGATCGAGATTTATTGACTCCTGCCAATGCCACCAGTTTCATTAACCAAGAATCTGGGTAAGTTCCTCTAGATATTGCGAACTATAATCACTAACTCTTTAAGGGTTATTTCCACAGATCGCTCAGTTTTGCCCAGCAGCTGTACCACATCTCCTTTATGTTCTATAGCGTTATGGGTGCCACAGTGGGCGTGACAACCGCCCATTTGGCTGGCTTCATCTTTGGTCGCAATAAGGCCGAAGATGTCGATATTGAGTTACTATCGCCAGTAATTCGCGGTTTCCAGAAATCCACCTATTCCAGCGTAAAACTCGACGAGAACACTTTGAAAAGTTTCAATGAGAAGTCGTAGAAAGTAATTTCTTGCCATGTACTTGTCAATAAAATATACTCTTAAGCAGCACTTCAAGTTTCTTTCAGTTAAGTTAGGATTGCTTGCCCAGGAATGTAAAAAACTAATCCCTAGCATCTTCATATTTTTGCTTAGCATGAAACTAAATTTTTACCAAGTATTGTTTTCCTTGAAATATTTAATATCTAACCAAAGAAAATCATTTAAACCTTTAGTACTTTCAATTGCGCTATGGTGCTGGCATACGCAATTTGGGTTCCATCCTCTTCATTGTTGGAACGGTGAGTATACAATCTATTAAATTTACTTTATCTATTAACATTTCCTTTTCTCAGATGCTGTGGCTTCCTGTGGCGCTCTATGTACCGGCCATCACCTATAATCAGGGTGAGTTTGATTTTGGATTATGCATAACAAATTTCATTAACAGTTGGCCTGTGAATGCACTCGGAGAAATTCAAACTTTAACACTTTTTAATTACTATCTATGAATGCACATTTTTATTATTTTAACTTTAAAAAGACCAAATACCAAATTTTCTTAAAAATTATAATTAAAATATATATTATAATTGATTGGTATGATTTTTTCTGAGTGTTGGCATGCAAATATTCCTTCTTATTGTTGTCTATTACCATCTTTCAGTGACTGGAACTGGCATCCATGTAATTACGCCCATTGTGTGCACTATCTGCACTTTCTACACGTGTGTGGTGAGGCGTTAATTAAATTCGGCTACCAACTTGTTGGCCAGCTTAATAATTTCGTTCATTTCAGGGCGGTCTGAAGGCCGTCATCTGGACAGATGTCATTCAGAGCTTTGTGATGTTTGGATCCATTTTGGCTGTTTGCATTAAGGGCACCTTCGATGTGGGCGGACTGGGCGTGGTCATGCAGCGAAATGAAGATGGCGGACGTCTTAATTCACCAGAGTAAGTTCAAGTGATGATTAATTTTGCCAGTAAATGTGTGGCTATTCTAAAAACCGACAGGTGGACAATGGATCCCACGGTGCGACTTTCCATGTTGTCTGTGATTTTGGGCGGCACTCTGCATAAGATTCAGTCCTCGGATGTCAACCAGGTGTCCATTCAGCGATTCCTCTCACTGCCAAGTTACGAACATGCCAAGAGGTGTATGCTGGTGTTTTACCCTTCTCTTGATATTCCTCCTCAGCTGCTGCAGTTATATGGGATTGGTATCCTATGCGGTTTACCACGATTGCGATCCAATTAGTACTAAGGTAATTGAAATATTCAGAGAATAATAATAATTTCATTTCTGAAATAATAAATTTTAAACATTTTCAAAAAATATTTTATAAGCTATTTTATTTTAATTTAAATAACCTTCATTATAAGCTTAATTTTCCTTTATTAATAATAATTTTCTTATATTTATTTCAGCTAGCTACTGCCGTCGATCAACTGCCTTCTCTGCTAATGATGCGAACTCTTGGTTCCTTACCTGGATTACCAGGACTCTTTGTGTCTGGAGTTTTCAGTGCTGCCCTGAGCTCCCTTTCCACGGGTCTCAATTCCCTGGCCTGTGTGATTACCCAGGATATCGTAAGACCCTTGCTGAAAAAACCCATGACCGAAAGGCAGACGGCTTTTTGGTTGCGGGCCATTGTGGTTGTTTGCGGATTCTCGTGCCTGGGAATGGTGAACATTGTGGAGAAGTTGGGTCAAGTGGTTCCATTGGCCACCAGCACAGCAGCAGTTTCGATGGGTCCTCTTTTGGGGATTTACTGCATGGGCGTTGGCCTGCCATGGGTTAAGGGAAAGGTGAGTTAATAAAACAGTTTTATTTTATTTTAATAAGAAATATAAACTTTTATTAATTTACAAAATTAGAGCGTTCTTGTGGGAAGCTTGGTATCCTTTTTGGTGCTATCCTGGATATGTATCAAAGCACAATTGGCTCAAATGAATGGAGATATTCGTTATCCCAAACTACCCGTTTCAGTGGGTGGCTGTGATTATGCTTTCGATAACCAAACAGTTCATGAGACCATCCACGGGTACAGGTAAGTATGGGAAACCTTAGATCAGATTTTTAATTAAATCTATACCATTTTTTAGACCCTCGGAAAGGAACCTCTACCATTTATCCTTCCTTTGGTATACAGGTTTGGGTGGTGTGATTTGTACTGTGGTCTCCGTGCTAGCTGGCTTTATTTTCGGCTGGGAGGATCTCAATAAAATGGATCCCGCCTTGATAACGCCCTGTATGCGACGTTTTCTACCAAAAAAGAACTACCAGGCGGTTAATATGCAGGATCTCTTTAAGAAGAAAGCCGAGAATGAGACCCAAAGTGCTTCCTAAACTTTGTCAATAAAATATGTACTTTTTGTTCTGTTGAAACTTTAAACGTTTTTTATTTAGTTGTTTTGTGTGTGTTCCCCAGCATGTTTCATTTATCCAAAGCATCTTGTAAATATCCATGCATCCTATAAAAAAGTTGTTCTTGTTTCTGTTTGATTTCGTTTTTCTTAGTACTTTGAAAGGCGTTTCGATCGACGGGTTCGCATCTTTGGATCCTGCCTCTTTGTGGTGATGAATGTAAGTTAAATATTGAATGAATAATGGAATTTCTTTAAGAGATTATTTTCCCTAGATTTTGTGGCAACCCATCTGCATTTATGTTCCGGCCTTGACTCTAAATCAAGGTAAGTACATCCCATACCATCACTAAATATTTGTATTTTAAATTTAATTTTTATATTTCTTGACTAGTTTCTGGAATAAGTGTGAACAAGATAGTACCCCTAACCAGTTTTATCTGTATTTTGTACACCAGTGTGGTGAGTATTTAGTAGAAAGATATAATTTTTCTATATAAATTATAAAACGATCTTTATGATAATTTTTTAGGGAGGAATTAAGGGCGTTGTTTGGACGGATGTCATTCAAGGCATTGTAATGGTTGGATCCATGATCATTGTAATCATAAAAGGAACTTTGGACTTGGGTGGCTTGAGCGTTGTTTTAGAGCACAATCGTCAGTACGATCGTTTAGTGGGCCCAGAGTGAGTTATTATAACATAATTTTTAAATATTTAAAATTAAATTATTTAATTTCAGCATGACTTTTGATCCCACTGCGAGAATGGGTGTGTTTGCTTTATTCGTTGGTGGTGCCTTGTTCAAATTGCAAGCTAATGGCATTAATCAGGCCATAGTTCAACGTTATCTTACTTTGCCCAATAACAAAGATGTTAAGAAGGCTTTGATCCTATCCCTAATTGGCTTTATGATGGTCATGCTGATGTGCGTTTATATTGGAATGCTGGCTTTTGCTGAGTTCTATCATTGCGATCCCATTACAACGGGGGTAAGTACTATAAAATAAGTTAAAGCAAAATAAATATATCCCTACAAACATATCTTATATTTATAATAATAAATTTTAATGTTTTTATTAATTTTAATGTAATTTATTAAATATCATTACAGTTAGCTCGTGCCAAGGATCAAGTTATCCCTCTGTATGTGGTTAAGAATGTGGGTCATATTCCCGGATTGGTTGGTCTATTTGTGGCTGGAGTTTTCAGTGCCGCCCTAAGTTCCCTTTCGACGGCACTGAATGCCCTTTCCGGTGTGATTCTCACGGACTTTGTGGAACCCTATAGGAAAAAGCCCCTAACCGAACGACAAACAGCCTATTTGTTGAGGGGCGTGGTTATCTGCTTTGGCCTGATCTCGATGGCCAGTGTTCCAATTGTCCAAAGACTTGGACTAGTTATGCAGCTATCCTCCACAGTGGCGGCAATAACTTGTGGTCCTCTCCTGGGAGCCTTCAGTGTGGGCATGCTACTGCCCTTTGTTAAAACAGAGGTTTGATTTTTAGAGGTTTCTTATAAGAATTATTCCTAAGAAAATTTGTATTATCTATGTTTTTAGAGCCTTCTCACGGGCATCTCGTGTGCCTCCAGTTTTACAGCCTACATTGTGGTTCGAGCTCAGATTGCCATTTTCACAGGAGCACTGACCTTCCCAGCAAAACCCGTTTCCGTGGAGGATTGTGACTATACCTTTGATCTCCCAGATAATTGGAATGCCACCACCACGGCGTATGTAATTGTTCCAAGTAGTAAAACTATCTCGAAAATATTTTTAATTAGATTTTTTCCTCTTTTAATACAGAACACCGATGGAGTCCTCTAGTCATGGCATACATGAGATCTCGTTTTTGTGGTACACCGCCGTAGGTTCGGTGGGTACTGTACTCGGATCTCTGTTGGCCACTCTCTACTTTGGTCGCCAAGATCCCCGAGTGGTCGACCCCGAACTCATTAGTCCAGTGCTAAGAAAATTCTGGTATGGCAAATACAAGAGTGTGGCCAGTGATAGTGATGAAAAATCCGAATTTACACTCCACGAATCGGAAACGCAGCCAAAGCTCGAGCAATCCGAAAAGTCATAGGGATAATTATAATATGTCTACTTTAATCCCTTAAATATATTTACCGTGTATGCCAAAAACCCAAAAACATTGTAGTTTATTTTTAGTTTTTAGCTAATGTTTTGTACCCCTTAACTTAACCGAATGCTTAAGCTCGATATTTTTTAGCTAACCTTTTTTAATTAGCCATCAAACTGGGTCTGTCCTATATGATCAACGATTCTTGACGAATCCTTACTTATACACACTCACTCTTTCAGTATTTTGAGAGACGTTTTAGCCGGCGAATGCGTTTGTTTGGAGCTAGCCTGTTTGTTTTGAAGGCGGTGAGCTTGGAATGATTACTTAAAAGTTTTCTTTTTAAATATATTACTTATTTTTTCAGATAATATGGCTTCCCATTGCTGTCTATGTCCCAGCTTTAACCTTCAATCAAGTGTCAGGAATTGGAATCCACACCATCACACCCATTGTGGTCATAATCTGTACATTCTACACCTGCGTGGGCGGAATTAAGGGCGTGGTCTACACGGATGTCGTTCAGAGTGTTATTATGTATGGATCCCTCATCGTGATTATGATTAAAGGAACCTTGGATTTGGGTGGCCTAGGAAATGTGTGGCGTATTAATCAAGAAGGTGGACGCCTAAATACCCCCGAGTAAGTGGACAATTTTTAAACACTTTGTATTGTATCTTAATGGATTTTCTTTTTTATACCAGATGGACTATGGATCCCACAGTTCGTCTGAGTGTTTTCTCTGTTTTTGTGGGTGGAACTTTCTTTAAGCTGCAGAGCACCTCGATCAATCAGGCCACCGTTCAGAGATTCATGTCTTTGCCTTCATTGAAAGCCATCAAACAAACGCTGTTTACCTTCTCCATTGGACTTACCATGCTCTATATGGGATGCGTCTATGTGGGATTGGTTTGCTATGCCACCTATTATGACTGCGATCCCATGTCTACAGGAGTAAGTAAAAAATATTGATTAGTTTTTTATTACTTAACTATTATTATTTATTTCCGCTATTTTCCTTTAGCTTGCTGGACGTCGAGATCAGTTGGTTCCTCTGCTGGTGATGCGTGTTTTGGGAGTTGTTCCTGGACTGCCAGGTCTTTTTGTGTCTGCCGTTTTTAGTGCTGCCTTGAGCTCTTTATCAACGCTCCTTAACTCCCTGGCCGCCGTAATCCTGGAGGTCTTTGTAAAACCACGAATGGGCAAATCGATGAAGGAGAGTCACGTGGCTCTGACCATGCGGGTGGTGGTGGTGACCTTCGGCATTAGCTCCATTTTCATGGTCTATGTGGTGGAGAAACTGGGCATGGTGCTGCAGCTGTCGGCAACGCTCCAGTCGAGTTTATATGGACCGATGTTGGGCATTTTTACCGTGGGAATGCTGATGCCTTGGGTTGGCGAAAAGGTTGGTAAACAAAATTGTGTTGGCACATGCAACTTAGATAAATAATATTCTCTTGCAGTGCGTTTTTGTGGGCAGCATTTGTTCTTTTGCCACCATGGCCTGGATAGCGGTTAATGCTCAAATTGCCAATATTACCGGTTCATTCCGACACACCAAATTGCCCGTTTCGGTGGAGAATTGTGAATACGATTTCGATATGAGTCGCTACCTCAACTCCACTTCGGAATAGTAAGTTTGCCTTGATAGTATTACAGTATTTTTATTAATCAACAATATTTTCCTTCAGCGAGCCTCACCAGGGCACTTCTATATATCCACATGTCATTCCTTTTATATGCCATGTTGGGAGCCCTGCTAACCATTGTTCTTTCTAACTTGGCCACTTTTGTTTTTGGACGTCAGAATATCAAGGATGTGGACGAGAATCTATTGTCTCCTTTTGTTCAGCGCTACCTGCGAAAGAACAATTACTACGAAACTGTGGAGCTCAAGAAGGTGGATGTTCCAAAGCTCAGCGAAAGTTCCGATTAGGCAGCTATAATGGATTGTTACCATTTTTAAATAAGCTTTTCTCATGCTTAACCACTTTGTTCCTATTGATCTGTGTGAATCTATTCATACATCAACTTATATTTTAATTTCTTCATTTGTCTTAATATTTTATGAACCCTTTGGGTATAAATCATTGAATTATTTTGTTCCTTTTAATTATATTTAATCTAATGAGGCTTGTGTATTGGGTTATGCTCTAAATAAATAAAAATCTTTATTCCAATTAAAAATGGTTGTAAAAAGCTTGAATTTATTTTTAATTTCTGCTAAAACTGCTAGGCATAATTTTTAAAAATACAATAGTATTCTTGATTTGATTTGTCTGCTAAGCCAGTCAGTTGCAAAACATGAAAAGGACTCTCAAACTTCGAGGATTCCTTATCCAAGCAGTGCAACTGGATGCAACAGCAGATTCTTTTATCTATGGCTGGATAAAATATTATATTTATTTATGTAACTTTCGCCGGGGAATTGGAATGTTGCGTACGTAGGGCGGATAAGTCATGGCCGGAAGGCAGACAATCTGATCTTGTCTGTTGTTAAAGGATCGGTTTAAACAGCTCTTGGAGACCCGTGAAAGATTTCGTGTGGGAGTGCAACGCCTGGAAAGGGACGAAGTGCGTCCGCAGAGATCTGGCATGCTGTAGGAAGTGGATCGCCTTGGCAGAATAGGGGTATTTATATGCCTTGATGATGAGCGGGATATTCTCTTCGATGACTCCTGTTTCCTGGCCATGGATTCCTGATCCGTACAGGACTGGCACATATGATAGACCAGAGGCGCCTGCTGTTGGCACAATTGATGTTGTGGGCCTCTTGGCGTGGATTCCTTGGCTTCGCCACCGGAACTTCTCTTTTTGGAGTGAGAGATCCACACTGGAACTTCTGCATCGATTTCTGCATGGACTGCGTTCATTCTGCACCTCCTTGCAGGCGCACTTCCGCTTCCGTTCCCGCTCCAACTTCCGCTCCTTCTCCGCAACCCGCTCCTCTTTCCTTTGCTGCCTGTTCGCCTTCGCCTGATTGAGTGCCCTGTAGTGCACCGTTTGGTTGTCGATGAGCATTTGGGTAACGAACTTGAATTGGTTCAGGTTCGTTTCACTCTGGGCGGTAATTTCTAGAGAGCAGAGGTAAAGTCATAATTGGTATATTGAAAGTGAAGAGTTTCGTGAAGAGATGATTAATCTTTCTAACCTAATTGGAAACGTATGACCTTAACTTTTATTAGAAGACTTGATTTAAACTTAAAAAGCAATATTTTAATTATTTCCGAACTTTGTCCTTTTAAATCCTCCTTTAAAGTAAACCATATTGATTATATAATTTCTTTCATTTCAATACTTACTGTTGGTAACATCGCGATAGATTTTGTTGAGCATTGCCTCCTGGTTTTGCAGCTCCTTGGACAGTCGCTCCATTTTGGTCAGGGACTCTTTAAAGCAATTGCTCACCATTCGCTGCACTGCCTCCTGAACCGATTCCAAAACATTATCGTGAATGATGCTAAAGAAATCGGCGAAGGATTCCTGTAGATCGCGATTGGGATCGTTGATGGATTCGGAGGACATTTTATCCTTCTGGGGATCGTCGCCACCTGGTTCACGGTTATCCCTTTTGCTCGAACAAATCCTTGGTGTCAATCGGAATCCCACACTCTTGGAAGACGAAACCTTGGCGCGCGATGAGCTGGACTTGGAAGAATTTCTCTGGCGCTTTGAAATCTTCCTAAGTGAATCGCTGGAGTTGCGGTTTTCCGATCTTTGACCACTGCTGCGCTGTAAACCCCCCTTGGCGTGATAGCCCCTTCTTATAACATCGTAGCCCGACTGTCTGGCCGATTTTGTAAAGCAGTAATTTGGAAACATGACTTTTTTGACGAATTTTTAAACTGTAGATCGATCTAAAACTGATGGTTTAAATTTTTTTAATGATATCTTCTTGTGACTTATTTTGGGAGTTAATATCTGGTGCTTATATTTTAGTAACAATTTAACGGTTTTTATGCACTTTCTCAGACATAAACAAATAACATTAATTTAGATTATCCAGATTTGTTGAAACGCAAAATATACTTTGTGAAAAAGGGTTTGCAACTAATAAATGTGCCTATTTTTGACGTTTGAAACCATAATTTTATTTATTTTAGTCTATTTTAAAAAAAAATCACAAATAATGAAAATTGGTGTTTAAAACTTTAATAAATCTGCCTGTTACTTATCTTGGGAGTTATCAATTTGTGCTTATTTTATAGTCCATTAGCTTAATGACTTTCAGCAAAAAAATTTTTTTGTAATTAAATTAACCATTAAATTAAATAAATCGATAGAATAATAATTGTGTCTCATTAATTTCATATTTTATCCATTTTACGCTTCTACTTTTCATTAAAGTACCATTGTATACCAATTTGTATATTTTTTACGTCAAGCTCGCGCGCTTGTTTACTAATTTGCTAATAGCATTTCAATTAAAAGTTGACAAATAAATTGCAAAATCATAATTGCAAAATTCTTCGCAACTGTCCGCCGTCTGAAGTAAGCTTCTTAATGGATTTTTCTCCCTTTCCCTTTGCCGAACCAAATGAAGCGAATGGCCGACGGGGAAAAGTATTTCTTCTGCAGAATCTGAAGAGACTTTATTATTTGCCAACTGTCCCATTAAGTTTCCATAGTTCCCAGCTGTTCAACCAAGCGATTAAAGTTCAGGAAGTGGAGAATGCAAATTCATAAGGGTTGAATTTAACCAGCCGCAAAGCAAATACAAATACAAACAGATTGCCACCAAAGTTGGCATGGTAAATTTGCCATTTGCAGACAATAAAGAGTAAAAGATACAACCGTTGGCTGTTTGCTGGGCCCACAGAAACCAATATGTTTTCATTGTCTGCCCGGTTTGTCGCTCAATTTATCTGTCATGTTGACTTTCCACTCGGTGACGTCAGTTGTGGAGGCCACAAACAATACCACATCATCGCAACAATTATAAATGGAGCGAGAGGGGGCACAGGAAAATCCTTGTCCTTGTGCCCATTGTTCAGTGGGGCGGACTGAAAAGAAAAACGAAGATTTTCCAGCGCGTGCCAAGAAAATGAATGAAAATGCGATAGACTCTTGAAGTCGGTTGCCTTTATTCTGTTTCTCTACACATAATTATGAAATAAATATTAGCTTAAACCAAATTGACTACAACATTATGCTCTATTAACTCTTATGGTCTAGTTATGCCTAATGGGTTTTGGTTTTAGGATACTTGGGCATGTTTATACACCATTACGAGTGGCTATATACACGGATGAGCTGGAATTTAAATGGCCTTAACAGCTAGTTAGGACTGGAGAAAAATGCATTTTAAATTTCCACTAAATATCCGTGAATGTGAATGGCACAAAAATAAAATCAGTCTGTAAGAAGAATAAAACTAGGAAATCTTTTAAAATTAGCTTATAAATGGACTGAAACCTAGACATTCAAGGGTGTCACAAAAAATCTGTTGTTTTCAAGAACAATTGCTTTTAGGGTCACATCAAATATTTTTAAGAGATTTCAAAACAAAACTGGGCATATTAATAAATATTATATTTATTAGTTCCTATTCGAACTGTAAAATTATTTTTTAAATAGGTATGATATTATTTAGCTTGAGTGAATGTGTTTGCTTGCTTACAAAATAAAGTGGGTAAACTACAAGTTTGTGTAAGAAGGTATTCTTCACAACTTTTAGACGATTTGTACCAATGTTTTCGTGAAATTTCTGTGATAAATGTAGTAAATATTTTGTAATTTATTCTTAGTGATTAATAAAAGTCATACAAACGTCCTACTAGGTCATGCATTATCTTAAGTATAGATTGCTATTGGGCAAATACAAATACAAGGTTTGAAATTCGTAGCGTTGACTTGGCACACTTACGACTAGGGACTTTCATTTGGCTTTCTCCATGCCTGTGGTACAACTATCGAACTTATTGTCCAAGCCTCTGAAGCATTTCACGGGATGTCTCCCGTTTCGTTCTCATCGAATTTAAAGGAACTCTGCATCGCTGAAGGAAGTGGGGCCGTGGATCGAAAACAAGGATCTTTTCCGGGTGGTGTGGGCCAGCTATCATACCTCTGACATGGCTGGCACCACCATGGTGGGCCTTTCGTTTATGACCACATGGGCATTGGTCCTATTCGCGGATCTGCGGGAAGTGGTCAACGAGGTGGTCAGCGTCCTCATCGAATCGCAACTGTTTTGCAGACGACGACCCACCGTGTTGCAGCGATTTTGTCGCGAGTTGTTGCGATTCGATTTGCAACAGCAGTTAAACCACTTAAAGGGCGGATAGCGACTAGAAAAGTTGTGAAAGTAAGTGTTTTAAATATTATTAAATAACAATTGTTATATATTATTATTATTTAATACCTCACCTCAGTGTGCGAAAGACCTGCGATGAGAAGAGGCAATAGATCAGCGGATTGGCTGCCGAGTTTAAAGGAGCCAGACTTTGGACGAAAGGAAGCGAGAGCGATGTTGGACTGCGTGTGTGGAATATAATCATAGACCTGCAGTAGATCGAAGACAATGTACGGCGACCAGCAGATGATGAAAACGAATACGATGGTCAGTGTCATTTTGACCGTTTTGACCTTTGCCCGCGGAATTATGCCCCTTGAACTTGCCCGCCTAGTAGGTGCAGCTCCGCGTTCTACAAAAAAAATATATAAATAATATTAATAGAGTTGCAATGATATTTGGTATATATTTATATTACCTGTTGGCAAAAATATGGAGCCATTGGCCCAAATCGTCTTAACGATGATTGCATAGCAGAAAGAGATGATCACCGCGGGAGCCACAAACAGAAGGATAGAAACCGCAACCATGTAGTACTGCCACCTTTCCGGGGAACCCAATTCGATCCAGCACTGCTGAGATCCCTGGATGACCTCCTCCTCGTATAAATACAGCATAGGAATTGAAAAAATCACCGCTAATAGCCACGCTCCAGCCACCAGTCGACGTCCTCGTTTCGCTAAAAATTATGGAATACATTAACTATTAATTTTAAATAGCTTTTTTTAATATATTTAATATTTTTTTCAAAAAATCAATTTTTAAATTAACTTAAAACTCTTCCCTTACAACACAGCTAAACTAATTTTTAAAAAATGCAGCGCATCTAATCCAAAGAAACCGCAAACAGCGCTTTGGCTAACAACATTTGGCAATTAGAAAACTTTTCGCCCGACGACGACTTAACTTACACGACTTCGAGAAGTTCATGGGGTTGTTGATGGCGTCGTATCTGTCGATGCTCATGGCCACCAAGACATAGGTGGACGCGTATGTGATGGTCGTCTGGATGAAGCGGATGAGCTTGCAGGCCAGGTTTCCCGCATTCCAGGCCACCGTGGAACGCCAAACGATGTCGGTCAGCACGTTTATCAGTCCCACGCACAGGTCTGAAAATAAAATAAATTGGGAATTACCCAAAATGGGATGAGAATAATCCCCAATCCCCGAAACTCACCTGCAAAAGCCAGCTGTTTGATGAAAAAGTTCATCCGCGACTTGCGATTCTTGTTAATGAACATCACAAAAAGTACAGCAGAATTTCCTAGGACTATTGTGAAGAACAGGAACCACAGCGTGATAAACTGTTGCGTCTGAAAGAAAGAAGAGAGCCCCAAGTTTGGTCACATTTCATTACACTTCTATCAAACTCATTGTCAACTAAGTGTTAGGCACGGAAATCACGCATAAAACTCAATTTAATGCCACACAAAGTCACACACTCGCACACTCGCCTTGTTTATGGCTCTTTAAATAGCCATAAAAATGATAGAGCTATGAATTTTTGCTAGCATGGTGAGGAGTGGTAAAAGGGCAGGATGTGCCAGCGGAAGTTTGCTTCTTCCAGTTCAGTACTAACACGACTAGGACAACACGACAACCTACACACACACACACAGACGTGATGGAAGGCAGACAGCCACCGTTATTCCAGCAGGAAATTGCTGCCAAGATGGAGGACCTGCACTCTAAAAAACATTTTTTTGCAACTTTTAAAGCCGCTTTTAAAATGTAAAGAAATATGGAAAGCTGGGGCATTTCTATTGACTTTAAAATACCTTATTTATAAAGGTGACTAAAAGTATGCAATACATGGATTTTCGCATTATATACATATCGTAGCAAACTATCAGACTGTTTTTTGTAAAAATATTAACTACATGCTTTTGATACATAGGGCTTTTTTTTATTAATGTATTTATAAAAAAATATTAAAAAAAAATCAAATTAATTTTCTTAGTGTACAAGTGACAATGAATAGTTGTTCTAGTTTTCTTTTATTGCCAAAGAAATTGAAATAATTTCTTCATGTGACCATGCTTATTCGGCAAAAAAATCGTATAAATGCTAATGTGACTAATGAGCTCTCAGCAGTACCTTAAATATTTTTTCAGCAAATTAAATTTACTTTCTAACGCCAACATCCAACACCCAAGACTCATATCTATTGAAGGTAAGTTTGAATTATGGCCTCGGGGTCTTGCAGTCTGACGCCAACACCGATGTTGATGTGGACTTGCTTAAGGGCAAGTTGCTGGGTAAACTTGTCCCGAAAAAAGCTGAAATCTTGACAGGCTTCGTCCTTGGAAGTGCGTCTTGGAACTCAGACTGAAGTCGCCCCTCCACCTTAGCTATACAACTTTTTGTCCGCCCATACTTGCAGTATTCACTTTTTGGTTTATTCTTTTTTTATTTTTTCGGCCTAAGTGCGAGTTGTATATATAGAATTATATATATAGATATTTTGTTCCAACGACTTTTTGGCGCTGCGATGGAGATCCTTAGACGGTCTGCCAGTCCATCATGTTGCGCAAATTGGCGCATAAATCAACAAATGAGTAAAGCAAAGCGGCTATTTTTACTCATTTCTTTGCACATCCTGTCTGCCCCGTTTTTCATTATTCGCCGGTGTCGCGTTTTTATTATTAAATGTGGCCGCCTTCATTTGTTAGCAGCAAAAATTTTGCGCATTCTCTTCCCCGGACTTAGATTTTGATGTTTTACCAGAAAAGTGACTTGGGGAAAGTCCTTAAAGCCTTTATCGGATTGGTGTCCCGAGGTGTTTGTGTTCGGCAGCTCAAGTGCAATTTTCCAGCATGACTTTCGAGAAAGTATATTCCGTATATTCGCGCTTGAAGTGAAGTTAAGGCAGTTGGAACTTTTCACGCGTTGCAAAACTTTTTCCCATTTGATGTTGGCTCAGCTCTTATTTTTATTAGACACCATTTCTGGGTGAAATTTTTCGCACGTTTCTGGTTTGCTTTTTTTTTCTTCTTAGCTAGAAGTCTTGGCAAATATTTGCCTTAAAAGATTCATATATTTTACACTCTAATTGGGATATCAATAGTTGAAGATTGATTGAAATTTTTGTTAGCTTCTTTTTAAATTATTTAAATAATTTAAGTTGATTGACAACAAATTCCTTTTTTCCATTCCAATTTACCAAAAATCGATTTATTTAAAATCTTTCGAGGAAAAATTGATAAAATAATTTCCGCAGCATATTGACGGCTAAGTAATAAAATCAACAAATGCCCGCACTCTTTTTACACAAAATAACTTTTGTCAGATTTCTTTGGATTTTTATTATGTCCCATGCTGTGGGCGCTATAAAAATGTAATAAATGGCACATTGTAAGCCTTTTTTAATGATCGACCATTTCTGGTTGCCCTTTTTATTTTTTGCTTACTTTTCTAACATTTTAACGTGTGTGAGTGTCTGTGCGGCGTGCCCTTTTTTGGCAAGTCATTATGCCTTTTTCAATTTGGCTTTGCACCTCGAGGAAATTGCTTTTTTTTTTGCCTGGCTGGAAGAACATTAAAAGTGCGAAATTTAATTTGAACCAAAGCGAAAAAAAGAGTTTAGCCCATAAGCCAAAGGCAAAGGATACACAGGATAAGAAAGGGGATTTTGACCCAGAGCCAGAGCAACCGTAAATCCTCATTAAAAGGCAATTCTTGCCGGAGAGCACCTGTTGCGGCACTTGGAACTACAGCCATGGAGCAACTTTATCTGCCGCAAACTATTATGTCTGATTATTAAGTGGGACAGCCATAACAATAGAAGCCACTTGGCACTCGAGAGCCACGCGCTGCGAAATGCGATGGTTTCCGCATCCGCATCCGTTTTCCTTAACCCCTAACCTCCAACCCCTAACTTAACCCCATCCCTTAGCGACTTTAAGTGCACTTTGTGCGGCTTTGAAGCTCTCGTGGCTTTAATCCCACTAAATCGCCCGTGCTGACAAATTTCAACCGCTGCCTGCGGATCGTAAAATGCAGCAACAAAGACAAATGGGTGGTGGCCACAAACAAAGGCAATGGGAAATTAATTTCATTTCGCAAGAAAAGGAGCTTTTCCCGCCCATTGTTGCAGTTGTAACAGCCAACGGCAGCTGCGCTTATAAATCAGTCCTTGTAGCCAAGTTCGCGGCAGTTTCACATATAGTATGTTCTGTGGGTTCCATTTGATTTAGAGAAGGTGGCTAAAATATACGCTCCATTATATTTAAAGTTGGGTCAAAGGTTCGCTACCAATAATTCCCTATAAGTTAAATATATTTAGGAGGATAAGTTAACCCAATTTTTAAAAACAAAGGACAACTTTGGACAACTTTAATAAACTTCAAATTAATTACTTATTATAGAAAATGAATGAAAAATCAAGAATGTTTCAATAATTTATAACTTTGTCTAAAAGTGTGCAACACTTTGTTTAATCTGTTTTCATTGCATATTTTTGGACACCTTTATAAGTGATTTGCAAAATCTAGTGATATCTGAGTCACCACTTATATGTATGTTTGATTATCGAAATCCACTCAATATCTCAAAAAGGCGACGACAACAGATAGTCCGATTTTATAGGATACTTAAGAGTCCGCTATACTTTGCCCATAAGCTTAATCAACTTCTATTTTCGTGGCTCATATTTAAAAAGCATCTGAGCTAAGGACGCGGAGCACATGGCACTCGGCCACCATTGTTGACTTGGTGGTTTTGTTGTTTCTTTGTTGGCTTAAGTTTTTATGTATGTAGTTTCATCTGTGTATTCTTGTTTGGCTTTGTGTTAGTCTGCGTGGAAATGTGTTTTGTTTGGCTGCTTGTTTGTTTTCGTTTCTTTCGCACTTTTCAGGGCACATTCATTAATAGCGATTACATTGTGCTTGAGTGCTCTACGCAGAACCCGAGAGAAGTTGCATAAAGTAAAATTAAATTTCATATTACGTATACGCAGCGTGCTGAGCCGGCAAATGGTCAGATAATAAGCATTAGTAGAGGAACTTTCCCGCAACGCAGGTCAACGAACTCTGCCCAGGAAAAGCATATTGTCCTCTCGAACATTTAGCGATAAAAATTCATATATATATGTGTAGAACACATAGAGACTCGAAGGATACTCTTGAGCTGGTATTATTTTGGCATAAAAACATGCATTTGGGTCAAGCCGAGCACATCAATCATGGTTTTTATAGTGGTTCGTGCGGCTTTTCAGCCACAATGCCGTTTTATGAACTGCCCTATAACCAAAGCCATATAGCCATATAACCCAAAGAACGTCGAAAGGACGAGACTGCGCTTTAATTCGACTAATGGCCAAACATTTTGTCATCAGCTGGCTTAAATCATCCCCATATTTGGCGTTGATGTTGACACAAATTGAAATTAATAAAAGCCCCGGCATTACAGCCAAAATGCGAGCTGTGTTGACAAACTGTTGAGTGGAAATTCGGGTGCGTGGGAGTGGAAATATGAAAAATGGCCAAAGATTTGCCAACATAATTGTGGTCGGTTATGAAAACGTGGGGCAGCGAGTTGGAGAGCTAATAAAGACCAACAGACTGACATAATGGATGTTTAACTGGTTTCCAGAGTTTATCCTCCTCAACTATCTGAATCTCAACTGATGGGGCGGCAACTCGATTTAAGCCAAATACATATATTTTCAGGGCTAATGAGAGATTAGTCGAATGAGTCTTGGCTATCTTCTGCTTTACCCCACTGACAAGTGACCCACTCAACGAGTCGATAAATTTTTGGCAGAAAAACAAAAAGAAGCCTTAGGCTAAACCTCAAATTGTTACGCTAGTGACTCGTAAATTTTCGGGTCAACAAAACACATTAATCAAATGAGTCGAACATAAATTCAGCTAGTTGGTCCAAAGATGGCCATAAAAGAAGCATATAGATAGGTCACTCGACTGTTGTTGCAATGCAAATGTGTCCAAATGTATAAATAAATTAAAAGCCAAAACATAAATATGAGTTAGAATGGACTGATGTTTAGATAACCTTAGCAGAGGCCGAATTAAGTGAGGGCCAAAAATAACAGGCATAGCAGGAAAAGTCAGCCTTGTTGGCCAGACAGTGGGAAAACAAAGGCTAGGTTGGGACACACTGAAAAAAAAATATTATATAAATTAAAAAAATATATTTTTTTACTTATATCTACAAACAGTTGTCAGATAATGTTTTACCTAAATTATATTTTTTTTTAATTCCTGGAGATCATAAAGTTTTTTATAAGACTTGTAAAGTGAGGATAAAGAAAATATCTTCCATTGTAGTTAAAAAGTAATATGGAAAATTAATT